TATACTTTGCAAGGGCCATGCCAGATGGGCGGTACGAAGCCAGTTTCCCCTCAGCAATCTGTCGAGACAAGCTCAACAGCCATACCCCTTGTACCATAATAGCCAACCCTAGACACCCCTAGGGCATTATTGTTATGTTACATCCCAACCTATGTAAAGCCATCTATGTCCACCGCTTCTTCATGTTTCCTCCAAAACCTGAGACTCTTGGGTAGCTAGACAAGTGGGAGAAGGGCAAACAGGCGAGTGGGATTCGTGTGGGCCATCACAGTTCACACACCTAGGTGTGGTATGGCAGCAGGGATGGCCACGAAGTTGGCAGGTAGTGGTATGGCAGGAGTGATCCCCCGTAGCATGAGGGAGGAGGCACTAGCAGCAGGAAGCAGGTGAAGTACATTTGATGCTGTGGTGGCCAAACTTGTAGCAATTGGCATACTGAGTGTATTTGTTGAAGCACAGGCGGCGCTTAGTATGGTAGGTATTCATAAAGGCAGAGAGGCGTTTCCTAATGAAAGAGGGAGGCTTAGGTCCAGTGATGGAAATAATAGCAGTTGAGGCGAGTTTGCCGATCCATCCTGAATCAGAGGTGAGCCACCTTGGCTGCTCGGTAAGAGATAAGCCTGAGTTGAATGTAGTAAGTACTTAGGCAAGGGCTGCCAGAGAGGTAGAGGTAGCAATGCCATGTACCCGAAGGTGGCTGGCAGGAGTGTCTAGGTCAATCATAGACCTGCCCAGAATAAGGGGCAAGAAGGTTTCAACTTTGCTGTTGACAGTCATAGCTCTAAGCGTATCCATGGTAGTAAGCCTGAGGGTCACATGTCCATCCCGAAAAGAGACAGATTGGATGAGAATAGTGGCCAAGGCCTGGTTGATACCGTTGTGTAGCTGGACACTAGTGGTAGTAAGGGGGGTAGCATCTCGTTTCATGATAAGCCGATGCTCGCGCATGGTGAGCCCCTTTTTCTTATCGGTAAGGGGCTTAGCCAAGGTAGAGGAAGGTTTGGCTGGCATGGGGCCAGGCTTTGCTGGTTTGTTAGAGGACTTCTTTGCCTTCCTAGCAACTGTAGCCCAAGAAGGAGGAGCTGCGGGGCCAGGAGGTTGGGCATGGGCAGGAGGTAGTGGAGGAAGAGAGTACTGCTCTGTAGTGTGGGTGGTAGGAGGTGCTGGCGGGGCAGCGGCGGGAACAGGCTGAGGTGGGATGGAGGCGCGGAGGGCATCTACTTCCTCAGTAAGGGCGGTGATGTACTCAGTTAACCCATCGGTCGCCTTCCTGTAGTCTCTGTGTAAAATTTGCATCATGTGGATTATAATAGAGAAGGCCTTTCCAAATGTGTTTGGGGCTATGAATCCCGGTCACACAAAGAACTCATCGAACTTACTCATGAAAGCCCCATCGGGCTTATCAAAGTCATCCGGTGAATATCGTAGTAGACTGGTAGTAGTGCCACTGCGAGGCCTTTTAAGCGAGGGGGGGCCTTGAGGCCGGAAGATAGGTGAGAGCCGACCCTGCAAAGCCCCCTCAGGCTGAGTAGGAGGTTGCGGACCGAGAGGGGGTGATGCCCCCATGATGAAGGTGATGAGGAGAAACTTGGACCCTGGTCAGGCCAAAGAGAAGAAAGATATCGTGGTAGATAAAATTATTTTTTGGCATGTAAGAAAGCCTGTCTGACGGAGATTACCAGATTGCGTAAAGAACATCAAATATAAGGGGGCACACCCCCTTATATAAAAGAAAATCCTCCTTGATCACTAATACAAAAGAAAACCCTTGGCATCATGCGTAGCCAGGATATCTCTATCATATTCCTTCAAGTTCCGTTGCACAGCAACACATACCAATCAAAGTACAAAAGGAATCCTTCACATAACAACCAGAAAACCCCAACCAATAAATGTAGCCAAACCTCCATGCATATTCCGTCTCTATCCCTGGGTGGCCGTGACAGACGCCTGAATCTCGTACAACAGGCTTCAGTTGTGCCCCGGTTTCCAGACCTCGCCTCTGAACTCTTACCTGTTCCTGTCGTAGTGTGCCTTGGGCTACCCGACCCTCAGACCCTATCCGTTACTGCTTCTTCCTTTGGTCGGGGTGCGGCAACCAGGCGTTTGTGGGGAGTGGTTAGGATCCAAAAGGGATAGAGAATGCATGAAAGAGGCTAGAAATCTAGGGTTAGGGGAAATTTATGTACCCAAGGTACTTGTGGTGACCAAAATAATCCGGTTGCCAAGAAGTAGTAGTGCTGCAAATTTCCTCTGCAGAGAGACTTCTTGGCAACCAGATTATTTGCTCAGTACAAGTAACGGATGACCCACCACTCCTATCCATGCCACTCCCACTGCCACCACTCCTATCAACACCACTCCCACTCCCACCGCTCCCACTCCCACTACTCTTGCCAATAGTTACCAATTTTCTGCCACCAGGAGCATACAAGGGAAAAAGAAAAGGCTTCTGCTATGCCAAGTTTGGTTTCCCTTCGTCGGGGCCTGCATGAGGGGTTTCATCCCAAGTTTGCAACGTTCAAACCCAACCGCACCCCCGGCAAAACATGAAGCAGTCTAGAGGCCGTTGGGGGGGCAAATGAGGTAGGCATTTCTGATGCAGTTGTTGTTGCTATTAGACCCATCAGAACAATTGAGGGTCTCATACCCGACACCAGAGAAAGCGTTACCCAAGCTGCGAAAGTCGAGAAATGTTTTGTTCGAAAGCAAAATAACGAAACCCTGGTTGGCAATGCTAGGGGACTCGATCTGGCAAATATTTCTCATCGTCTAGACATTGAGCTTGGGGCACTCAAAACGAAAATCCTTGAATTGAACATAGCGGACAAGAGTCCAGAAGCACGTTTGGAATTCCTTACCAATTCTAGCGAAAGCTACCGACAAATTCGGTTTCATTTTCTGGTTTCTTTCAGTAACAAGCACTTAGGATGTACCAAAGAGAAGAAAAAAACTATCGAGCAAGGAAATAAGGTGGCTCACTGGGGCGACATACTTTTCAACCGTACCCTTTATGACAAACCTAATGGTAGTACCAATACAGAAGCGTTCAAGGTCTTCTATCGTGTTTTGCCGAAAGACCTTGAACAGATAAGTGACTGATCGACCCTACCCATAAAATCTCGTCCGTAACGAAGATGACTAGGCTAACTTGTCTACTAGAGTATCACCGGACACTTAATCTTTTAAATACCCACACCGGCATTCTCAGCTCGAAGTGCAAAATAGCCACCCCGAAATTCTTTGACGTGTTTTCAAATTTTATCTCTCTGTTTGAAAAATGTAAGTTTAATGAGTCCTTTTACGAAAAAAAACGGAGGTTACCCTTGCCTACGAGGAGTTTCTCAGCTTCGCTGAGAACGAAGTGAAACGAAGGAAGCCGAAAAAAAACGTTTGTCTAAAAAAGCCAACCCACCCACAGCCACAGCATAAAGGCCTTAAGGGGCACCACAATTGGCATGGTTCGTTTCTTGTAGGAAATAAGTATCTGTTTCTTTCTACCTTTTTCTGCTTGCCGAACTTAAAAAAAAGCCTTGCATTGTTCATAGAGTGGATGCTTTTTTTTTGTTTTCATAATATTATTTTTCTTGATTTGCCTTAGGCACCGCTTTCTAATCATGTCTTGCCTGCTCTCGCGCATTATCCAAAATGAACACACATGGGTTCTTGTTTCATTAGGGGCATTTGCTTGTCTGTCTTTCCCTTCTCTTTTTTTCTTTTCTTTACTTGCTCTCTTTCTACCGGGCATGGAAGGGTTTTCCTAAATGGCTGGTACTACGCAATTTTCTCACTACTGAGGTATATGGCGCGTTGGGGGAGGGAGGGTGTGCTGTATATAATGCTCCAAGCACTCATAATAACAGTATGCTAAATCATCATGAAATTTTTTCCCCTCGTAATTTTAGGACATTGGTTACGTTTGCCTAAGGCACTCCACCCGCTGTGAGAAGGGCGCGGCAACCTGCGTGGTTGCGCTAGCCGTTCTTTAGCAACGCTTTGGACCCGTCTGGCTAGAGCCGCTACATGCTTAATAAATGCGGTGTTGAGAAGTTCTTCATCGTGGTGCTCTGCGATGACATACCCGTCGCTACGGCCGTCCCAGCGGGATTTGAGTTTTTCTCATCCATGTTTTATAGTATCAAGATGTTTGTCAGAGATCGGTATCCAATCAAACGGAAGGGCTGGAAGGATCTCAGTATCTTTGAAGAGCGGAATTCCTGGCAGGCGCAGGCCTTTCTGATTGAGAACTGACTCACATGGGCGAGGTATTTGAAGGTTGAGCTTTTGACCCAGTACAGGAATGAGTTTTATTGTCTGGTTGCCTTGTTGAGGGTACATGAGGCAACTATGATGAAAGACTTGAAAAACCTAGGCGAGATCATCAGTATTGGCAGGGCTAAGGAGTACACCCTTGAGCAAGTGGTGCCTGAGGCTGTTGCAATGAATGTAAAGAATGAGGTGCAATCAGGGGTCACAGCTATGACCCTGGCGGTGGCAGAGGTGACACCTAAGGAGGTGTACGCAGTCAATGAAGCTCTGGTTCGGGAGATCAGGATCCAAAGGTATCATGACGGATCGGGGAGTTCTGGGCTATTATTGATGTTGGGAGTTGAGCCTTTGTTTCTGCAGACTTGTGAAGTCATGAATATGCCCTCTGCGATACATTCCACTCCCACCTCCAGCATGATGGAGTCATCCACTGTCATTTCCGCTGGGATAGTTTCTTCCTCAGTAGGAATAATTCGGGCCATCTGTCCTGCAAGTACGATCTCGAATCCCACAGAAATAGCGCCAGCAAGGGACCAACACCAGCAACTCCCCTGTGCCAGAGACAAAGAGAGAGGAGATGGCATCAAATACTACTTCTGCCAGCATTAAAGCACCCGGCACAACCTTCCAAGGCCCGCACACCACCACACCCCTGTACTTCCCCCCCTTCCTCTCCTTCACCCTCGGGATCCCAAGTAACGCATGCTTATTCCCACCCCTACCCTCTCCCCATGGTGTTAACAACCCAAGCAAGCGAAGCTGAAATTCATAGAATTATTCTCGAAAATACGACCCATCCCAGCATCCTTACTAGCCTCTACAACAAGCTCAATTGCCAATGGCTTCCAGAACGCCACCCTATCGGTAATGGAAAACGCCGACCCCCACTACCAGCATTAATAATCTATGGGTTTCAGCATTGGATGCGCATTCACGTTCTACTAAACCAGATGAAGAATACCAACGTCTAATAGATTTCCTTCAAGCACTAAAGCGCGCTGTAATCCATTCAGCTACAAAACGACCCGCAACAACGACCTCAATCCTCAGCTCGCCATTCCCAGCTGCCCCAAAAGACCGAGTTGTCAAGCGTTACGCAGGGCATCTCGAGAGAGCCCTCGAATCCACCGCGGGTCGCGCTGAAGGCATAGAGGAGGTCCCAGACATCGAAGGCCCCCGGAAAGAACTTGTATACTTTAGACCAAAGTCTACCAAGACCCAATTGGAAACCCGTAAAATACAAGCAGAGTTAGTAAGCGGGCTGAAAGAACTAGACTGGATAAAGAGGAAGCTATTGGCGCGGAATTCAAGGGATCTGCACACAAACGGCTAGCGGAGGAGAACGGAGAGCTAGAATCGCGGAAGAAGAGGGGGGCAGAGATGCAAGCTGAACTGGACAGTTCAAGGAACAAAGTGAAGGAATTGAGGAGGTTGAAATCTGCTAGCAGCTGAAGTATTTCTTCAGTTAGTTCTGCCGGGACACCACGTTACTCTACCGGCGGGGCAGCGGGCATCAGGCTGCTGTACCGTGTTAGTACCACGCCGGTTTCCCCGCTTGGCCCTAGGACTCAGGTGCCGGGGCAGGTGCCACCATATTACCGACAGCAGTCTCAACCGCCGAGGTGATGTGGGTATGATTACCTTGCAACCAGAGGGGATTGCCTGCTTTTTTATTATTGAGAATTGCTTGGGCAAGTTTGTATGTATTGGGTCTATGGCGGGTGTCGGGTTGGAACAACCTCTTGCCAATTGGGGGAAGCCCAGAAGTATCACTCGGAGGTGGTAGAAAAAAGGTTTAGCCAGTCGGGTCCACTCCCAGCAGCCATTGCACGCTACCCATCAGCAAAAAAAAACTCTGCGTCTGATGCGTGGGCGGCGCGTCCTGATGCCGAGTTTTTTTTTTTTGCGTCCCCTGCGTCCTGTGCGTCCTGATTCTGGTTGCAACGCTCCACTACATCCAGTGCGTCTGGGCTTCCAGCCCCCACGCCCCCCTACGTCCTCTGCGTCCCGTCACCACTCCCCTCGCATGCTTACCTCCGGTACCCTCTGGCCCCTCGGTCGAACGTCTGGATCACGTCCCTACGCTGCTACTGCAAAACCGTCGCTCTGATCACATCGCTCGCGGCCTTGCGTCTGCCTCACCACCTGATGCTCAGCCCCCG